CCCAAATGTGGGAAAATCAACTGCCTAAGTGGGGAACTGTGTTTGTGGTTTCTCCTGGTTTTTCTAGAATCACTCTTTTTTCCCCTTTGGTCCTTGCCTATTTTCATTGCCTACTGCTTGCTGGTTTTCCAGGTAGGCTGTAGGAAGCAGATCCTGGAAAGCTAGCAGTGCAGAATGGTGAGGTCCAAGCAACAAGCAGTCTGGTGCCAGTTCAGAGGCCTCCTAGCATGGCAGTGGGAGGCTTCTGGGTGGTGGTGGCTGAACCCCTTTTTTACTGTATTTACTGCATAAGACGCACATATTTTTCCCCCACTATTTGGGGGGGAGTGCATCTTATGGAGCGAAAAATACGGTACTTTGAAAGCCCTATTAGGATCATTATAAGTTGTTTTGACTTGATAGCGCATAATATAACATTCCATATTGAGCTCTTTGACCTAAAGCACATTTCAAATTAAAATCATTATTACATCAGGCTTTATGTAACATCTTAACAATACAAATTATAGGAAGATTCAGATTTTTTTAAAAATCTGATTTAAATTTAAAATCTTGATTTTTTAAAAAATCATTGATTGTTATCCTCTCTGCAGCCACTTTGTATAGAAGACAGGGCTGCAGCTAAAAGCATGCTGCCTGTATTTTTGCCAGTGTTCATCCATTTAGCAATGTAATGAAAAAGGTATTTACTAAAGTCCTCAAGGTCCTTCCTTCCTTATTTCCTTCCTTCCTTCCTTCCTGCGAAGAGAATCAGCTTTTTCTTAGGTATTTTAGAGCTTAATAGAATATGAGATGTTTATGAACAGCATCACTCATTTTAACAATAATATGCATCACTCATTTTAACAGAGGCATTTACAAAAATTACTGTTTTTCCTCTGTAGGTATATAAGATCCCCTGTTTTTGCACCCTCAGCCAAAACAAGGTTTACCAAGAAGGAATGTCTCAGTTTCCAATTTGTTTTGTAAAGAAATACATTCCTTCGAAACTGAGAAGATGCAGCAGTGATTGCTTTTATTTGTTCTGCTTCTCTAGTTCCTGTTGGGAAAAAAAACTTCTCTTTCATTCTGTTTAATAGATTTCTCGAATGGAATATGTTCATTCAAAGAACTTAATATACAGAGATGTAAAACCTGAAAACTTCTTAATAGGACGACCAGGAAACAAAACTCAACAAATTATTCATATTATAGATTTTGGTTTGGCAAAAGAATATATAGATCCAGAGACAAAGAAGCACATACCATACCGAGAACACAAAAGCCTTACAGGAACTGCTAGATACATGAGTATAAATACACATTTAGGAAAAGGTACGTATTCATTTTTATAGCAGAAACTTAGCAATTTGCTAGATTTCTGTGACTGCTTCTTTGTATTTTAATAATCACATTTGAATACTCTTAATTTTATTGGAGCTCTGAAGACCTCCTAACTTTGGAAGCTTTTTAAAAATGACTGATCACAACTGTTTTATTTTGGGGTAGTACACAATGGTGTCAAATACCCTTTTTGCTATGCTGATATGTGATTGGCACCGGTGGCTAGACCAAATCACTTCTACTCCTGGGTGCAGTGGTTGTTTTCTGTATTAATGTGTTCCCTTACGTCAAATGGTTCATAGAACAGTAATGAGGCCCTAGCAATTCTTTCTTCTGCCAACTTGGCCAGGATTATTTGGAATACAGAAGCATGGATTTGGAGAGAATGTCTAAAGCAATCACCTATTGTATGAAAGAAGAATCTAGGCTTTCCAAGTGAGCAGTTTTATTTTGTAAATGTCCCTAGAAACTCCATGCAGCCAAAAAAAAAAAAAAAAAGCAAACCAAAAAAGGTCTTGTAAAGCACTCCTTCTGTTTACTCTTTAATTGAGAAAGATGCTCATATATAGTATAGTTTAGAGGAAAAATATGTACAAATGAGCAACCGGTTTCACTTCAAAGGACTAGGTCAAATATACATGGTATACCAGAGGAGTACAGCTGACTTACACATGCTTACTGACTTGAGGCAGTAAGCATTTGTTGGATGCCATACTGGAACTTAGAGATATGGACAATTTTTCCAAGTTGGAAATTCTCTTGAATAGTGAGCAATATGTAAGGTCTAGAAAGAAAGAAGGAATCATTGTTACTGGACATGAGCCTGTTTACTAATCTTATTGCTTAGGATTTTTTCTGCCCCTGCCTCAATTTCTTAGTCATAAAAGAAAAGACAAGGAAAAAAAGTGAAGACCTGTAGTAGTGCTCCAACAGGCAGTAGCATCTGGTACCAGTGTCAAGAAGGACCATTAGTGTTAGATTATCCTGTGAAGAGGGAGAACTGTTTGGTTTCCTTTCTGTGAAAAATTTGTTAGGGTCTCATTGTTCCAAGCCTATAATGTATGTTTGAGACTCCTCTTTTCCCCATGCTTTTTTCTTTGCATTATCTTTTTTTCCCTGCCTTACTCTAGCAGAAAACAAATGAGTCATGGATATAGTAACCATTATTGCTGTGAAGCTTGGTCTAGTCTAGCACTAATAGTACCTGTTACCTACCTTGAACTTGGTATCCATTATTTATGCAGTTATTGAAAATACCTTTATTCTGCCTTTCTTGTATGTGCCCATGCTACAAAATGGGAAATAAACTGTTATCTAGAGACCCACAATTTGCTCAGTATTTTTTTCCTTACCTTTCTTTTTTGGTTGTTCAAGGCCCATTTCTGAGCAACTTTTTATCTAATTATATACTTTAAGCATGACATTATTTAGAAGAATATGATTCTTACCAATGTATATCATTACTTGTTTTATCTTTCTGCACAAATGCTGTTTATGGATTTTATGGTAAATACTGTATTTTTCCGTTTACAAGACAACCCAAAGTATAAGACGAACTCCCCTTTTTCTAACCCCAAATTTTAAAAAGCAGGGATCAAAGGGCTCCCTTTTTGCTAAGCCCCATGCCTTGGCAAAAGGCAAGGAAAGCGGCTGTCAAAGTGACTGCCACTTTTCCTCACCTTTTGAGAAGGTTAGCAAAAGGCACGCTGGGTTTATCAAAAAAGGAAGGAGAGCCAGTGCTGCCTTTCTTTTGCTAAGGAGGCAGGAAGAGGCACCCCAGCATGTGCTTCCCGCTGCCTCCACCACGGGAGGGGACAGGGCAGCGGTGATCGGGCAGGCAGGGGGGGGGAGAGGCAGCAGTTGGAGGGGCTGGAGCGTGTGTGAATGCTCCTTTGCATGTGCCTCCTGCTGTCTCTGTTCCTGGAAGGGACGGAGGGGACAAGGCAGAGACTGAGCTTGCTGGAGGTGATGATCGGGCAGGCGGGGGGGTGGAAGGCAGGCATCAAGAGGCGCTGGAACGTGTGTGAATGTTCCTTTGCTTCCACCTCTGCCTCCTCCTCCTGCTGCTGCCTCGGCCACAGAGGGGACAAGCCCTGAGCTCTGAAAGAGGCAATTGAGCGATAGTGGCTGTAGCAGGAGGCGCCCGAGCGCACAAGCACGTGACTGTTTCTTTCCGTTTATAAGGCAACCCTCAATTTTTCCTCTGATTATTTTTTGAAAAAGTGTCATCTTGTACACGGTAAAATATGGTAATGTTTTCTGTATAGAGATATTTTATTATTAAAGAAAAAATGTAAAATAGTAATAACATACAATTTATAATTATACCTTTTATTTGTATCACTGACTTTTTTTTGCACCAGTTTATAACTGTGTTAGTTTTAATATTTCAATTTACTTTTTTCAGAGCAAAGTAGAAGAGATGATTTGGAAGCTTTAGGTCATATGTTCATGTATTTTTTAAGAGGCAGTCTTCCATGGCAAGGCCTAAAGGTAGTGTGTTAATTTGTTCAGTTTGTCTTGTTTCCTGAGCTATTCTCATAATTTTATAGATGTTTCTGAGTAATCAGTATGATTGATGTATCTTCAAATATAGGCAGACACATTGAAAGAAAGGTATCAGAAGATTGGAGACACCAAGAGAGCAACACCCATAGAAGTACTGTGTGAAAACTTCCCAGGTAGTCTGTTCTTCTAATGAAGAATAATCTATATAGCAGCTGCATTGGCAGTTTTAAATGGGTCACTAAGTTATATACCAGATAGTTTATACTTGTGATGTTATTTTTTGTGTATGATTCCAGTTGTATGTACATGGTGCTTCAGCTATTTTGTCAGCAGTGGGTTTAATGAGCTGATGCTACATTGGCAAAAAAGATATCGGTGTTTCTGGAGCTTTTTAAAATTTTAGATAGAGATGATAAGATATCAATAAAATATGTGGTACATGAAAGGAGTAACATACACTGCTTGGGAAAAAAAAGCACCAAATATTACAGTAAATCAAATCAAATAAATTTATTGTCATTGTAAGTATATACATAGTATACCCATACAACGAAATTCACACAGACACCCGGGGACCAGATCCACATGCACACACATAAAAAATCCCCAAACACTCCCCACCCATTAAAATTCCCCACTAAGAATACAAACATCACTAAGTGCCATTAACAGTTGTATTTGTCTTTGAAGCAACTATTAATGCACAAATGACATTGCTACATATATATGAGAATAGGATGGTATACTTTAGCCCAGAACCTCTGTTTAAACATGATGTAAAATTTTAGCCTGTGCTTATGCACTGAATGGAAAACTAAATTGATGAGTAAGCTAGTTTGCTATTCTGTATTAGAATAATTAATTAACGCAACAGTTGAAATAATGAACTTTTTTCGTTCATATAGAAGAAATGGCTACATATCTTCGTTATGTGAGAAGACTAGATTTTTTTGAAAAACCAGATTATGACTACTTAAGAAAGCTCTTTACAGATTTATTTGATCGGAAAGGCTATATGTTTGATTATGAATATGACTGGATCGGTAAACAGTTGGTAAGTACAGTTTAACAAATTGTTCAAATGCTCCTGAAATTCAAGTGCTACAATATAGAAATTGGAGCATTATAAAGTTGCAGGAGAGAGTCCGTATAACCTTGAACACGTCTCAGTTTTTCCCAAGACTTTAGGCAGATGTTTATAGGCCCCTTCTTTGTTTTTCTGACAGGAATAAGGGGGTATATTTGTTGTGCATTTTGAGTGCATGGAAGATATTGTTTGTTGTTGGAGCAGAACTATTGCAGTAAGAAGCCCAAAGGCTATATCTTGTTTCACATTCCATTGTATCAGACCTTGATGCTGAGGCTTTTGTTTTGTTTTGTTTGTAGTTTAATTTTTTAAAAATTCTTACATTAGTTACCACTGAATTTTAATTTATATTCCTCAAGTTGAGTGTATGTGAACCTTTCAAATGTGCACATTTAACTATATAAAGTGACCTTGAGTGTATAAGTCTTAGTAATCTTTTCAATGTATCCAGTCCACACAATTGTAATTGTTTTAATTAGCAAGTGCAATTTGCTAGCCGTTAGATGTCACTTGCTACAGTGGTATGAAACTCTCATTACAGGACATTGACCAGTCTAATTGACATAGGTCTGTATAGATTTTTCACCTCATCATATTCTAATACAGTGGACCCTCTACTTATGGAATTAATCGGTATTGGAATGGTGGCTGCAGGTCGAAAAGTCTGTAGGTCGAGTCTCCATTGACCTACAATGCATTGAAAACCAATTAACCCCATAACCAGCCGCTTTTGTTCCATTTTGTTTTTTGTTTTTTTGTTTTTCTGGTCTATAAGTCGATTCTCCAGCTGCAAGTCGAACCTAAATTTTGCAGCCATAGAAGTCTGTAACTCGAAAAGTCTGTAAGTAAGTCGAGGGTCCGCTGTAAAAGGTTGTGCTTTACTTTCTGACAGACCCTTTGAACTATTTAATAAAATAGTGGGCCTGAATTAATTATTTGAACTGTTGTTTAACCTGTAGTTACGCTAAGTTAAGCCTTTCAGATAGGTTTACTGTTACTTACCTTGCCTAATGACATACCAGTGCTAGTACTTAACAAGATCATCTTTATATGTAAGTAATTGTTTAGTTATTAAAGGCTTCCAGGGAAGTGTGGCAGACCTATGCTAATACCATGGAAATTTCAAGATCTTTTCAGATGAGTTTTTCTAAAAATAAAAAACTGTGACTTTGAAATCTGTAATTTTATTTTACCAGTATTCAGCATAATATATTGTTTGCAGCCTACTCCAGTGGGTTCAATCCATTCAGATCCTGCAATATCTTCCAACCGAGAAGCACATCCACATAGAGACAAGATGCAGCAATCCAAAAATCAGGTATACAGTCCATCATTAATGTTTCCAAGCTTTATAATCTGACAGTTTTGCTCTAGTTTATGCTACTAGAAGAATGCTTCTAGTATTAACTCTTTGCTTTTGGGGTTTTTAAAAAATGTTTATTAACATGAGTGTTTCAACGTAAGCTTTTAAGTAAAGATCCCAAATTCATTATGACTCTTATTGTCCTACTTTGTATGTCTGGGGTGCGAAGCACGGGAGGTTTGAAATTTTGCCCTATCCCCTTCTGTGTCCTGCACAGGGGCCGGAAAATACTGTTTTTGGCCTCTACAAAAAAAGAAAAGAAAATTTGAAATACCTGGATAGCTCTTTTGGTTTTGTTTCTAATTTTGGAGCTGTTCTAGAAATTGCTGGTCTCAGAAGTCTGTTAGAGCAGAAAGAAACTTACTTGGTTTTGTGTGCATATGTGTTTAGGTCTGGATTTTGAAGAGATCTTCGGTACCCTTTTGGGCTGCAAAAATGCCCCTGTCTGGATGTGGTGGTCACATCCCACCTGAGGGCCACATGGTGCTTACCTATATTGTGTCATTTTAATGATCTCCTGCAATCACTGAAGGAACATTATAGAGGCATTTCAGCGATAGATAGTGTGTGCAATGTTTTCCACTTCAGGCTCCAGAATGAACTTTCTCACTATATATATATAAAAGCATGTATGTATGTATGTATGTATGTATGTATGTATGTATGTATGTATGTATGTATGTATGTATGTATGTATGTATGTATACTGTATATGTGTGTGTGTGTGTGTGTATGTATATATATACTTTCCTTTTATATATATATAGTGAGAAAGTTCATTCTGGAGCCTGAAGTGGAAAACATTGCACACACTACCTATCGCTGAAATGCCTCTATAATGTTCATATATATATGTATATAAAAGTATATATACTTAAAATTAACAAGTCTTCCCCAAAATCAAGTTTGAAACCAACCTCAAGTGTAGGTTTCAGTCTGTTTTAGAATGATTTCTTGTTAGTCTTCTCCAGTTAATATTGTTTCCATATTGTGTTTCATTTGGGAGGAATTCACTCTGAAGAACTTGTAATATACGCCACATCTGTTTATTGTTGTTGAAACTGTTCTGTTTATTCTTTCTAGAACTTACGGTAGTTCCTTGCCAAAAATAATTCATTTTAATTCATTTTTTAAAAAGATATAGTTTGAATTTCAGAAGTGAGGAAAATCTTTGAAATCATTGTATTTCCTTTATATTTGCCTATATCTGGCTGTCTGTTCAGAGGAGACACTTCATGAAAATTAATAATAATCGTATGAAGTGACATCAGCAATTGTTTTCATTTGTAAACATTTCCATGTGAGCAATGTGTTGTTGACCTGGCCAGAAATCTCTGAGCTGTATAAGTGTTCTTGAAATAAAAGTTTTTGTGTTTTCATTTATGGAAGATGGTACATGGTTCACCTTTTTGCATTTTCAGGATTGATTCACTGAACTCTTATGGCTGGTTTTACACCAAGCACTGAATAAAAATATGTAAAATAACAAATAATAGCTAACATTCTTATTGATTGGCAGTTTCTTTGTTCAAGCTACTTGTAGGAGCCTGCTCTGGTTCTATATCTTCATTGATTTTTTTCAGAAGGACAGCTAGTCCTTTTCAAACCTGAGTATGTGGAAAGGGTATGGTCTGTCTGAGGAACTGTAAAATGACTAAAGTATAACTAGTCCTAGCATATGCTTACAAATGATGAGTTTGTGCACTCTGCTCCATGAAGCAATGATGGGGGCAAAGACAATAAGTATATAGCCCACAGAAGTGAGGAGGAACTAGGGGCCTTCAGATGTTGGGTTACAACTCCCGTCTTCCCTGCCCATTTGCTATGTTAACTGTATCTGATGGGAATTGGAATCCACCAATATCTGGAGGTTCATTGATTTTCCTCCATTCCATAAGATTTGTACATGTAAAAGAAAGAAAATACTGTGTTAGTAACAAACTTTTTTTCTGCATATTGTATAGAAAAATTAAGAGTGCTATTGTAGCATCATTATATAGTTTCCCTCCTTTGTAAATCCATTACTGTTTAGAAAAATAGCTATGGCAGGTTTTATTTTAGTAACTGAACATATTTTTTAATGAACAGAATCTGTATTAGTTGAGTGTGCATGCTATGGAAGTACCAAAGTTCTCATTTTCTTTCCTTGTGTTCCACTGCGATACTAACATTTTTAGAAAGAAAAGCACATCCCATACCAAATGGCTGCTCCCAAGAATTCCTGTTCTGCATGAAGTCTCATGTTTGAAGTTTTTGTTGAAAAAAAGTGTTCCAAGTGAAAAACTTTAAACATGTCTTTCTGTGTTCCGATATGTATGTACACATATTGTTACATGTGCATAGGTGACCATGTGTTCCTGTGATGTTTATGTAGAATAGATTTGATTAGCATGATGTCTTTAATATGTTCTGGGTTCTTATTCCTCCTCTTCCATGCATGTTTAATGCACTATATAACTGGCAGTCGACAGACCACAGGGCAGCTTGGGACCCCCATCAGGCCAATCCCCATCACCTGAGAGCTCACCTAGCAGCTGACAGACATGGTGGCTCGGTACAGGTATTTTCTGTTCTTTGCATGATTTTTTTCCACATTTTGATCTTCTTGGACACACATGGTATACATCTAGCTTTCTGTTGAAGATTTGTGTCATAACAATGTTCATAATCCTGTTTCTTTGGTTAAAATAGATACAGTACAATGAAAAATTATTCAAAACATTACGTTGTTTCTGCAAATGCTTGTAGAAGATCAGCCATCTGCATTTTGAAGAAACCATGTTGGCATGATTGACTGCATGACCCTTAACCCCGGGTCACTCAGTGGTGGTGATGGTAATACATATAGCAGTGCCATTGTTTGAGGGGACACATTAATGCTGACTAGTGACAGTATTATTTAGATCTTAAGTCAAAAACAAAAGACCATGTATTCAAGCATATGTTAGGGGACTTCATGCCTTTTAGAAATGATTTTAGTATTTTTGTTTTCACAAAAATTGGGTGAAAATCAAGTCATATTGCATTTGATTGTGGCATGGAAGGGTGTGGAGTTCATGGCACAGTGGTGTGGAAGATTAATCCCCCAGGTTTTTGTAGTTCTCTCCCAAAAAGTCACCCCATGGCGAAATCAAGCTTTAAAACTGGATGTATTAACTTTGGTTAGCAGAAACTCTCAGTTTAGCAATACATTCCAAAGTGAGATATTTTACGAGATTAGTCATTGACATTTTAACTAATGTTCTCAGGCCACAGATTTTGAAATAGGTACAGGAAGAGCTATGATGCTTTTTGTCTGGTAAAGAGTTTTTGAGTGGATCATTTTGTGATGCATGTATTAGAGGAATGGTTGTTGTGGGTTTTTCGGGCTCTGGCCGTGTTCTGAAGGCTGTTCTTCCTAACGTTTCGCCAGTCTCTGTGGCCGGCATCTTCAGAGGACAGCACTCTGTGCTCTGGTGTAGTTGGCTAGGGAGTGCTATTAGAGGAACCTTCTATAAAGAAGGCAAACAGAAAAATATAAATGTAACTTTCTGACAGATTTACATATTAAAAATTGGTACAAGGTGTTTAGTGTTCAGTGACATACCCTGGGTATATTGTTGGTGTTTTATCATATGTTTGAAACACCCTTCTAGATGTGAAAACTTCTGTGCATCTGATTTGAAAGAGAAGATGTTTGTCCAATCTGTGATCTTATCTTCCAGATCATACATACAGTACCAGCTGAAAGTTCTCCAGTTCTAATGATACATTCCATACCTCTGTTGTACTGAATCGCTGTCATGTAGTATGTATATTGGGGCAAACGTTACCATTTGTTTTAATGTTACCGATTCATTTCTTCCTGTTTGAAACGTTATGGCCAGCTACACTGTGGAACTGATTTATTTCCTCTCTTGTTCCTTGGCACAGTGCAGAGATACTAATGCCCCAAGCCCTTGCACCTTATGGCTTAGGTTGATTTCTTGAGCCCTTTGCCTCATTAGTTGCTTCCAGTTGTGTTAGGCTGCAGTCTGGATTATGTGGATTGGCTTTGTGGGGAGCTGGGGCATCGACAGGGTGAGGTATCCACAACACCCATCCTCCCATGTAATTCCTTCCCCAGTGCCCATTCCTGCCTGTTTCCCCATATGGGACTGCTCTAAGGCTCCTCCATGCGATTCCTATCAGCCCATGCCTCCCTCCCTGCACCAGCAAAGGCCTGGCATACCTGCCCCTGCCCCTGCATTGAGTCCTGCAGGGCAGGCATGCTTCTTCGAGGTCACACCTTGGTCCTGGCCACTCTCCCTTCTCTGTTTGCCTTGGTGGGATTGGCATTCATGTACATAATACTGGTAAGGAATGATCTGTTACGTCATTGGAACAAAATACGACAACCCTCCTGGTGAGGGAAAATAAACTGCATATACATTGCTGGCCGGGAAAATGATTCAATAATGACAGTGTGTCGTGTGAACTGAAATTGATGCAACAATCTAACATGAGTATTTACTGTATTTATTTATTCGTTCATTTATTTATTTATTAAATTTATACCCCGCCTCTCTAGACCATGTCTACGCGGGGCGGCTTACAACATAAACATTGGGAACATTGGGCTGGTGTGATCAGGCTGACAGTTGCGCATATGAGCTTTTGTGCTAACCTGTAGATTGCTGGCATAGTTCACTCCCAGAGCAATTGGATTGTTCTCCTTTTGCACTGTTATTGGGAAGTTACTGGTACTACTTGTTGTTTAGTCATTAAGTTATGTCCAACACTTCATGACCCCATGGACCAGAGCAAGGCAGGCCCTCCTGTCTTCCACTGCCTCCCACAGTTGGGTCAATTCATGTTGGTAGCTTCAATGACACTGTCAGAGGTTGTTGATATTTCTTCCAGCAATCTTAATTCCAGTTTGGAATTCATCCAGTTCAGCCTTTTGCGTGATATATTCTGCATATAAATTAAATAAACAGGGAGACAATATACAGCCTTGTCATACTCCTTTCCTGTGACGGCTGCGATGACGTCACCTGCCTATCAATGTTATGCTGGAGCTCATCTGCCTATGGCAGGGCAGGAGGTGGGACTCCAGGAGGTGGAGCTATGTATATAAAGGGGGAGTGAATGATGTGTGGGAGATTGAGCTAGTATGATAAGATAGAGATAGGAACCAGAGAAGGAGAGTTGCAGTTTGAGTTAGGGCATGTATGTTATGAAGTACTGTGTTAGACAAGGTCTGAGTGATAGCGTGACTGAAGGGATTCTTTATTTTAATGATTGACTTATTCAGTTCATATATTGATTTACTATATATTAAGTTGTACCAATAAACAATAATTTTTATTCTTAAAATCCATACCTTTGTCTGAAGAGTCAGATATATGTGTGTGGTTGGTGGCAGCGTGTTAAGAGAAAGAAAGTGTGAAGTGGCGTCCACTCTGTGACGTATGAGGAGGCGGTAATCTTAATTCCAGTTTGGAATTCATCCAGTTCAGCCTTTCGCATGATATATTCTGCATATAAATTAAATAAACAGGGAGACAATATACAGCCTTGTCATACTCCTTTCCCAATTTTGAACCAATCAGTTATTCCATATCCTGTTCTAACTGTTGCTTCCTGTCCCACATAAAGAGATTTCTCAGGAGATAGATAAGGTGGTCCGGCACTCCCATTTCTTTACGAACGTGCCATAGTTTGCTGTGGTCCACACAGACATAGGTTTTTGCGTGGTCAAATGAATCAGAAGTACATGTTTTTCTGGAACTCTCTGGCTTTCTCCATAATCCAGCACATATTAGCAATTTGGTCTCTAGTTCCTCTGCCCTTTCGAAATCCAGCTTGTACTTCTGGGAGTTCTTGGTCTACATACTGAAGCCTGAGGATTTTGAGCATAACCTTGCTAGCGTGTGAAATGAGTGCAGTTGTACGGTAGTTGGAGCATTCTTTGGGATTGGGATGTTGACTGATCTTTTCCAATCCTCTGGCCACATGTTGTCCACCCATTTTCACATTTTTGCTTACAGTAAGATTCTGTTTGCTCACCTCCCGGAATCTTTAGCATGTTCATATGCAGGAAGCATACAGCTCCACTCTTCCATGGTACTACTAGACTCCATATTACCCTGCCTGGCCAATGGAAGAGTGGAGCTGTATGCTTCCTGCATATGAACATGCTAAAGATTCCGGGAGGTGAGCAAACAGAATCTTACTGTAAGCAAAAATGTGAAAATGGGCAGAAATGGGTGGACAGCATGTACTATTTCTTCAATAAGACTTTTTGCATTGAGGAAAGTAGCCTACATTATTAAGATTGGCAGTTACAAAGTAAATCTTAAATGGAAAAATGTAACCTTGACCTTACAGAGGTAAAATTGTTCTCATTTGTCTACAATTTCAGTACAGTAGGTATAAAATTGAAGCAATCCATTGGCCGTGATTAGGGTTTTTGAAGTCTCTAATAGATGTGGTTAAGGTACTTTTGGAATTCTGTCCTTTGTTTTATTCTGTGGTTTCAGATTCTGTTAAAGAAACTGAATGATTTAAGTGGTGGAGAGAAATTGGCTTGTTGTCGAAGAATGTTTGACTTGTCAATATGATCCTTTAAAAGGAATATTTCCTGCTCTACATTTTAACCTTTTGCTTTAGTTTCTGGAATTGACATGCCATTCATTGTTAATGTTTCACTAGCTAGCCTCCTCCATTCCTTGTTCCACAAAAGTTTGTCTTAGTGCCTGAAAATGTCAGCTGAATAGCATTAATAAATTGTCCCTTTCACAGTACTTGGCATTGCAGTAACTTGAAACACTTATAGAAGGTCTCTTTAAATTGTGTTCCTGTTTTCCTTCTGGCAAATCACTCAGAAATCTTGCTGTTTATCGTAGGAGGCTGATTTCTCTTTATGTTCAGCATGTCTCAACCTTTTAAAGCAATGTTTCAGACTCAGCTGTCTACGGTCTTCCAATTTGTTGTTCCTGCTCTTAAGATTTTCTCTATTTTATAAATAGCTTGTAACATGCATAGACATAGGTATCTGTATTAAAAATACATGTCTAGTTCGTCATAGAACTGTATACCTGTTGTATACAGGTATAGAATCTATTTCTGAAAGATACAGAAATAGATTGTATAAATATGTTGTACAGAAGTTGCCAAGTTATATTGAAGGTTTACTTAAGAACAGGTTGTGCAGGAGTAAAGTAAGAATACTGTGTTACGCAGAGAAACTAACACAGCTGTCTCTTTAAAAATGGTTAAAGTAGAAATATGATCTTGCACGACAAAGTTTATTTTTTAGAAATAGACTGAATAACATGTTAAATGTACAGAGCCACTTTTTCAAAACCAGAAGTTGTATTATATCATTAATTCATCTGGAGTTTTTGTACTATTATTTTGCTGTTTTTAAACAGTGATTTATTATGTAGAACTGTTTTTCTATGGGCCATTTGGTATATTACTACGAAAATATAGCCTGGTCTGTGCAATCATCATTCCAGATCTTTGGTAGTTATAGGAGATAAATAGTGAACAACACAAAGATTTTGATGCAGTGAAAAAAAACCCCATCACATTTCTCATTTCTTAGGGAGAAAATTAACACTGTAGTGTGATAAATGCAATCTTTCAGTTGTTGTAATGCAATTCCTATCAGCCCTTGTTAAGATAGGCAGCAGTGGAAAATGATGGGATGAAGTCCAGAAGAATGATAGGATGAAGTTCCCACCTCCAGGCTGTACTTGGAGGCTGCAGAGAAATCAGATAGTTAGCATTATATTATTTAATGTTTTTCTTCTGTTCAGCTTTCCTTGAATGTATATTCCTGGAGAAATTACTTTTCACAGGATAATTGTAGCATAGGCCTACAGTGTACATTTCAACAATTATGTGTTGCTACCTTAGTAGACTGTTACTATTTTTGAAATTGCAGCTGGGTATCATAATAATCTTCATAATTTATTATGGCACACAGCACAGGGATATATCCCACTTCCTGTTGCAGCTTTGAAAGCACCCTGAAACTCTGTTCCATAGTTAGACCTGAATATGTTAATTTTTCATAAATAGGGTAATGCTGTGCACAACTGCCCATAATTGAGTTTTACTTAGTTTATCGGGATTTACTCCCTAATAAGTATGTTTAGGATTATAGTCTTCTTCTCATCCCACCATCACTCTTCAATAGATGGCCCATTCTGCAAGTAATTGGAGAAAGATTAATGTTAGAAATGCATGGGGTTTGGCGAAAAAAATGGTTGCAACCTATATTAATATATTCTAATCACAACTTTTGGTATATTGTCAAACAAACAGTGCAGTAAATCTGGAGATTTATGTTGCGTAATCTTTGAAAATGCTTCTAATTTCAGGTTGTTAGCTCAACAAATGGAGAGCTCAACACCGATGATCCTACTGCAGGCCGTTCAAATGCACCTATCACCGCCCCTACAGAAGTAGAAGTAATGGATGAAACCAAGTATGTATTGACTTAAACTAAATAAACCTTGCATTGCCAGTACATCTTATGATGCTGAGTTATTCATGGCTTGATTCCCATGATTTCTAGTTCTTCACTGTAGTAAAACAAGTCATTTAAACCACTTAAGCAGCTTCACTTTGAACTTGTAAAAATAAATGAACAAACAAAAGCTTTGCTCATTTTCTGGGAATACGTTTTCTCGCCAGAAGCTATTGGACTTTCCAGGCAGTGCAGTGCCCAGCCCAAGATGAAGAGTTGATGTGATGCTAGCTTTATATTGTGTTGTAACACAATATTGTCTGCTCTTGTAATGTGGAGGATATCTGGCCATTGTCTGTGTGGGTTGGAGCTTATTGGGGATTGAAATCCAGAGCAGGGCAGCTAATTTGGGAGATGCTATAATAGAGCACTATATTTTTGCTCCTCTACTGTAGTGCACACAGAGTTTATGGGAAGTGAGAAATCTTGGGTACATCCTTTGTGTACCCACCTAGCTTTCCTTGTCTTTCATGCAAATCATTCAATATTTGCAAAGGATGATGGTGAAAATAGAAGAAATGGGGGCCTGTTATCTGCAAAGAAGATGCCTCTGCACCTGACATAAAGCACTTACGGGATGGAAGTATATACCATATCAAAAAGTTGTATAAATAATTTAGGTATTTTACAGGGAGCAATACGTGCCTATATTGTACTGTAAACTGTCTGGAAAAACACTTGAGCTACAATTGGCAATATGGAGAAGAATAAAAATAGTTTACTATTTGTAGTAGCAAGCTCTGATTGATTAGATTGATTCACATTCATTTCATTGGTATTTGCTAATTTGGTTTTGATATCTTCTGACTTCTTCAGTACAGTGTTACATATGCAGAATGCAGCTCCTTTGTCCTTTATAGTGTTCTGATTCTCTTTTTTCCTTGTATTTTCTTTGTATTAGCTGCCAGAAAGTGTTGAACATGTGGTGAGTTCTAAAGTGCAGGCAGGCAGAAATGGCTCCAGAGTAACTTAAAAATAATAGAGCTCTTGTGAGCAAGAAATAATTGGAAAGAAATATACAAAAAGATTTTAATCTTAATAACTATTGGTTTTTTGTAAGGTGAAAAACATGCTAACATATTGAGGAACACTTTTGCCTGCTTTGTTGTGTATTTTGAAGTGACATAGTATTGATGTATTTTTATCTAATGCTGCTAAATTTATGTTTTAATATTTATGTTTAGACAAACATTTTGAGACATTCTAACTTCAACAGTAATATCTTAACCAAGCAAAGCTGTTTTCCTGCTAAATTAGAAGAAATGTTTGCACTTGTGCTTACTGAAGTGTTAGTTCTTGGTGGTTATTGCTAACTGATACTTCAGTCTAAAATAGCTCCTATCAGATTCATAATTCCTCTGCATCCCAGGACAACAGTGGTTGTGTTTATCTCAAAATGCAGATCTTTTATCATACTGACTTCTGAAAGTCAGTTTTGAAAACGTAAACATGGCTTGGTACCTCGTAGGCAGCCAATAGAGTTCTTTCAATAAAGGTCTGATATTGTGCATTACCAGTCCCTCTACTCAGTGTCTTGGCTATGACACTCTGAAACAGTTGTTGCCTCACATATAATTCACTAGAGTAATCCAGTTGTGAGATTTCCAGTGCATGAATCACAGGGGCAAAGCTGTCCCAATCCATAAAAGTGCATTGCTGTCTTATTAGCCAAAATTAGTAATACTGTAGGTGCATCATGTTGCTGAAGATACCTGAGTTTTATGAGGGAACAATGACATGACCACCATGATTTATTAACTCATTCTTTCTGAGTGAGTGTCAACCCTGTCAAGAATCGGTTAACCTCCCAAATTCTGCACTCAATGGCTGTTTGCCATTTATAATCTTACCATGATTCAGTATTAATTGGCCCTCATCAAACCCATCACAAGTGCTGATTTAGTCCATACTATTTTCCAATTCAGCTGTATAGAGAAACAGAGCTGGATTTGTAATATGGCACCCTGCTCCAGATTAGGTTAGAACAGATGAAATAAAATACTGTATTATATTAATAAATGTCCTAATATAAAATACATAGAAGGGGACACAAACACTAATAGCATCCTAATATGCTGCAAAATAAAACACAGCTCTTAGATGAAACGTATTCATGGGACAAACAACACATCTTAGCTGGGAAGAAATTTCCATAGTATTTCTTCAAAATTCAACAACAAAATTTTAGAGTCATTTACTAAGTAATCTATGTACAAATAACTTGTTTAATATATCTGCAGTGACCTATAGTGCCATAGTTGCTACAGTGGACCCTCTACTTACGGAATTAATCCATATTAGAATGGTGGCTGCAGGTCAAAAATTCTGTAGGTCGAGTCTCCATTGACCTACAATGCATTGAAAACCGATTAATCCCTTAACCGGCCATTTTGTTCCATTTTGGTTCCATTTTGGTTTTCTTCTGGTCTGTAGGTCGATTCTCCAGCTGCAAGTCGAACCTAAATTTTGCAGCCAGAGAAGTCTGTAACTCGAAAAGTCTGTAAGTCGAGGGTCCACGTTGTTATCTGTTAAAAGCATTCACATGCCCCTTTTTATTGAGCATGTGCATTTGTGGAAAGACAGAAGTATCAGTGCAAACGCTAGAAATATATTAGGCTTTACTGATTATTACATAAATGTGTTATAAATGTGAGTCATAAATGTCCTATTATATGGAAGTAACTTGAATTTATATCTCTGTAGTCCTTTTTATATATTTTAACTATAATGTACTATGTTCCCATCTTAGATTGCTAAGCATTCTAACATTTGCATGGATGTTTCATAAACAGTGTTATGCCATAGCCTCATCCCATCATATCTGTCCACTGCATGCATTCCATAAATTGATCATTGTGGGAAGCTCCTGCTCAAGGCCGTTAGTTGTTATCTGTTACAGTGACATGCAAACACTCCTGGCAGAGAAGCAGCAGCCCAGCGGGCAGGCTGACCTCTCATTCTGCCTTTTCCCTTAGAATTAGGGCATAGATTCAAAGACTTTCTCCGGTCAATCCTAATGGCATTTTGGTAACTAGTATCCTATCTGAATTCTCACAAAGTATGATATAACCCTTGCTAAGTTAATAAAAGAGTTCTCAAGGTATTGCCTTTAGGCTCTGCTGGCTCCTGACATCTGCTTGTGGATTTCTTTGCAACCTCTCTAAAGGCTAACTGCCTTCCTATTGTCTGTGATCACCCATATCATTAGCCTTCCTTTTGTTCCGTGATCACCTACAGATCATCCTAGTTATCCCCCCCCCATATACTTTCCTATATTAGCAAAGTAGAGTTCTTGTTGAACAGCCTGAGAATCTTAAGTGGTGGAAAGGACTTGGTAGTGCAGGTTTTTATGAGAAAGACCTTAACATTTGCAAATTTCAAGTAGAAATTGTGTGCATATGGAAGTTGTGCTGAGACAGGAGATATTCTTATAGTGTACGAATGAGCAGTTGAGATTCACTGAATCCACTAGGACTCATGAAATCTGGGATACATATCAGGTAGACACTTCCAAAGTATTCTAGTTATGCTGGCGAAATGACTTCTCTCACCAAAGAAGTTACTTCTACATATATTATGGGTGATTTTGTAGACATCTCTTTTGATTATAATTCACTTCTTTGACCTGACTTCATCTTCATACAAGTTTAGAATGAATGCAGGAAGCTCTTTCTTAATGGAGATGTGTAACGAAAGTGAAGTAGAAAACAAATAACAGAGAGGCATTGTTCTTGTATATCTGTTGAGACTCCATGATCTGGCTGTGTCTATGCAAAAGATACTTTGTTTAATTCCATAATTCTTGGTCATCACATCCAGTGCTTGCCCATGGTTGTGCCCTATAGTTGAATATAGACCCATCAGGGAAACTAATCTAAAATAACTTCTGACATGCATTCTAGATACAGTGGGGTCTTGACTTGAGAACTTAATCCGTATTGGAAGGCGGTTCTCAAGTCAAAAAGTTCTCAGGTCAAAACTGTATTTCCCATAGGAATGCATTGAAAACCATTTGATCCGTATCTGCTCTTTTCCGTCCATAGAAACTAATGGGAAGCTGCTATTCTGCCTTTGACCACTGGAGGGGGATATTTTGTTTCTTTTTTTCTTAGGTCAAGAAAGGTTCAGGGAAGGCAGGGAAAAGACAGTCCAGGCAGTACAGTACCAGGCAGTCCGAAGACTGTCTCCCAATCCACTCTCTAAACGCTGGGAGGAGTGAGGAAGCAGACAGGCACCCTTTTCACTGGCCAACAGTTAACTGAAAGTTCAAATTTTGCACTTTCCCTGCCTCCCACGTGGTTTTTTTTCAGTTCTTAACTCAAATCTAAGTATGTAAGTCAAGTCAATATTTTCCTATGAGAGTGGTTCTTAAGTCAAAATGTTCTTAACTCAAGCCGTTCTTAAGTCAAGACCCCACTGTATCTCTTTTGCTTAAACTGTCTGAAAGCTTCCACTGTATATGAAGATCTATACAGTGCCTAATTTGGTGTCTGTAAAAATAGTGTCATTGGTGCAGCAAAAATTCTTTGGAAAGGTTGTTCAGAAATCCCAGATTTGATGGGTATTTGATCATAAAGGTACAGCAGTGCCAATTAAATACAGTCCAGTTGCTTTCAGTGAGTCTCACTTATTTCCTCTGATCTGTGTGAGAGTGACTTTCCAACTGACTTGCAGACTACCATATGAATAAAACATGAAGCATCTGATGGGAGAATTGTCACTCTTTTGGACCGACACTGTACTCCTGCATTAACGTATCACTACTCTTGCCAAACATACGCACATATGTATATTAAATCGTATTCTCTTTTCCTGTCCATAAGCTCATGACAAGGCCTTGCAGGTGGTCATATTAAGCAACAGTCTATAGCCAACTAAGTGTAGCATGCAAGAACTATCCCTGGATTGGGAAGCAAAATAATGTTACTAGAGACAAGAGGTGGCTTCTTCTTAGTCATCAGAAGACTAATTGCTCAGTCTGAAATGACCAGAATTATGGGCCTTTGTTAGACTTGCTGTGCATCAATGTGAGAGACATAGCCACTCACCTTTCCAAATTCATGGTCCCGTTGTTTTCTGTGAGTCTAAGCAATAGATGATGCAGATTGTTCAGGTTGCTGGGAAAGCACACATGTGCACCCTGTGAGTAGGCTTAATTTTTGGAGCACATTTTCCCAAGGATATAGTGGGGAACTTTGTTCGTCTACTGATCAATAAAACCAGTTTTTAATGCAATACTAAAGGAATGGCTGCTAACTTTTATATTATAAACAGAAGTTTCTTCTGTTTAAAGAAATATTTTGTGCTCCATTCTAGTAGATGCATTGTATATTTTATTGTTATAATTTTATCTTGTAAAGTGAGCCAAGAAAGCTCTTCCTATAAAAAAAAGCTCTTTTTTGCAAAATAGAGTTGCATCCTTCCACAAACAGGAAACGCCCTTCCTAATAATCAGTATCTTTTGTTTCATGTCCTCAGTGGTAAGAAGAACTGTTGTAGGGATGTACTGTATGTTGGTCATTTTTCCTTCTTGTGATAGAGATTATGGCAGGTCTATTCAAACGTTCACTGATTTAGTCTAAGCTTCTTTTATTGATCTTGGTCACTAGATCCATAGTTGATCCAAGCCTCAGAGAAACATGATAATGTTTTGGTTCATCTAATAGTTTAGTGTATGGCTCCACTGTAAATCTTTCTTTTTCCTGCCTGGCTTTCCAAGCACCTCAGCTCAAGCATATGCTATGGACATTTTAGGTAGTGCATCCTTCTAAAAATATCATCAGTCTGCAGATTCTTTCAGGGCTCGGGATTCTTATTTGGGTCACTTGCCCCAACTGCCAGTCACAGTACTTTGCCAATAGCCAGCGAGAAGTGAGATGCACTGGGAAAAAAGAAGAAAGATGAGGAGTGGGTAATTAATGGGTG